GTCCTCTTTCCAATGAGTTATTCAGTTTCATTTTTTCCAATGACGAAAAGTGGTTTCCCAAATAAGGAATAGCTTATCAGTACTCTAATAATGCTATTCACTCCTTTCACTCGATCACAGCTGACTACGATAATTAACATAGTACAAGCTTTAAATTACAGAAAAATAAAATTATTTTACGTTATAAAGTTTTATGGGTTCTGGTCGTTGATTTTACGACTGATACAACATTCTTATTCTGCAGTTACAGTAATTAATATTTACACCAACTCAGAAATAGAAATATATAATCATTCCTGTTATTTTCGATATTAATCTTTAAAGAATCTTAAAACGTTCTTATCATTGTAATTAACTCTCTCTCGATAATTTAATATTAAATGTCTCTTAAACTATCGACCGACTACGCCCAAAACCACACACAGAAAGATTCGTAATAATATGATCTATCAAGACGAAAAAGCTCATTAAAACGATTCTCCTTATAAGTATGTAACCGTTAAATGTTGTTTCCCTCTTTTTCTCTCTTATTATTTCCTTCGTTTTCATTTTCTTTCGTTACGGTCAATTTAGAGAGCCGCGAGCATGGGTAGCTCATTAACGGCTTCGATTACAAAATGTCTCCTAATTGGATGACACGAGAATCACGAGAACGCGCCTCGGTTATCAAAGGGTCGTCAACCCGACGTTCCATAGCGAGCTGATCAAGGAAATACCTGTAAACATACGACGTTACAGGTAGACGAGCATCGGCGCTGTTCTGCGTATCGATACGAGTCTGCTGATAAGGTTAATCGCGCGATCTTCTCATTTACGCTTCGAATCTGGAAAAGTACAGGACGACGAGGAGCGGATTAGGAAAATGGAAATAAGTAACGTGGCTGTTTTCAGACGGCAGACGATGTTTATGTGCGACAACGCGACGCAAATAACACAGTTTATCTTTATACCGTGTTCTTTTTTCTTTTTCGCGAGCCAGTGATCAAATATTTTGATTAGGAACGACGTGTCAATTGGTGGGGCAAAATTCAAATTTAAAATGTAAAGTAGCATTTCTGCAAATAGGCTAAGAATTCTTTGCATTTCTCGAGCATAGAAGCGAAAGTAGTGGAGCAACGTGTGCGGAATACGCGTAGAAAGTACGACGTTTGTCGAGAAGAAAGTGTCATCGCCGAGTGTCGGTAAATGGCGAGGGAGTTTGAAACGTATGTATGGGACGGTACGCGTTAAACAGTACACGCCCGTTTCTCGTCACCGGGAACACGGTGAAAGTCATTTTGGCCACGGTGGGCTGATTATTATGCTCTCCGAGCAATCGTCATTCAATTATTACACCGATGGCCCGTCTTCGAGCGGCGTAATTACGCTGGACGCGCAAAACCCGGGCCCGCCTACTGCGTTGCGCGAAATTCAACGCGTATGCAAATTATTCCACGCTGCTGTTCAACACCTTTCGAATTCAATTTGCGTCCGCTCGCATCGCCGGGAACACGATATTTTCGTGACAGACGAAGCCCCTGCTATCTGTACATTGGATGCGATCATCGAACGCTTTTTCGATCTTTGTTTTCATCGAATCTGGTCATTACTATTCTTGAATTGTTGCTGTCGTTCCTCGAACGACCATACTTATTTACTCACTTCTTCTCGTCTCTTTTTAATTTCCGATCCGTTAATCAGCTTTGGTGAAGTTAAATTTACCCTTCCCCCTTTGTATGGTTCTTGGGAATGGTTAAACAATAAAATAAAGAAATAAGTCCTATTTATAACAGTGTCACGTTTGATACAAGAATGAACAGAAAATATGTAAATTGTGCAAATGTGCTGATTACAAGAAAGACAGAACCGATGGAAAAACTTGATTAAATATGCTAATCGCTAATTGAATGCTAATGAAATAACGGGACGGTTACTGAAAGATATTCTATGAAAAATAAAAAGCTCAATAACGTATTAGAGGACAGTGGACGAACGTGTGCAATAACCGCGATAGGCGTTGTTGACTCGCGATTACACACGCGTGTTACGCGAATTTCAACGCGTATGCAAATCGTCGGCTCGTAGGTGTTGGCGAACAACTTTCGCGCCGGCACAACATACGTTACGGAACAATATCTCGCGAAATCTTGTCCGGATATCTTGATATCTGTGTTTAATTGCATTCACCGATGGCGGATCAAGGCCTCGGTACTGATCGGATACGCGTGTCCGTCGATGAATGAAAGATTCATGGGTAACGCGCGGTTGAGTGACGGTGAAACGCAATAAAATATGTATTGAAAAAGTACCGACGATTCACGGAGCTAAAACACGATAGGGCGTTGTTGACTCGCGATTAACAAACGCGATGCGACGCACTGCAATGAGGCTTGCGAATCGCACCGTGGAATAATAAAACGATCCGCGGATTCGAGGAAGCTCGCTGCACAACACACAGGCGTCCTTCGTTCATTTCGACGAAATTTTTCTTCGCCAATGAAATATTTAAACCTTGTATCTTTTGATTTATCGCGTTTCCGCGCGTATCGCCGTCGACCGTGCAAACACTTGTGATAAAAAGAGAAACGGTTGCATACCAACTGACGGATGGATTTGAAATAGTTTAGCACAGGAAGCATCAATAACAGGCAATGAAATTCTTTTTCTATTTTTGTTATTTTGAAAGCTTCGCTTTGATCTTTAATTATTAACCCTCGAACAGAGCGAAGCCTTAGTCAATCGTGATCCAAAATTACATAAAGACTGTGGCTCTCTCCATGGCCCGCCGTCCGAGAGTTAATAATACGAGTGATTTCCAAATTCATCTTCCCATTTTTACTAATTTTACCAATGTAAATTAGTATTATAAGACTCGTATAGCATGTTCGCGATTTAAAACGAGCCGATAAGCGTGCATTGTAAAAGGATCGAAGGCACAAAAGGAACGATCGCTAATGGTATCGACTTTCAGTCGTCGATCTTCTCTTGGTAGCTTCATAAATCACTTCCACGACAGACGTATGCAGATCAGCGTCTTTTTACGTCGAATAACTTCTTCTTTGTGCATGCATTTCGAATCACAGTACACTGTTCGAAGCTTAGCCCGAACGCGAGTAATTAACTAGTTTGATAGCGGTATCTCGGTGGACATTTGGCAGCGGAGAAAACAATTTTCCGGAATTTCCAACGTGAGCTACGTTGTTTTACACTGTTTACAGTGAACGCGTGGTTTAATCGCCAACAGACGAACCGATCGATTCGTTCAAAATATATTCAGGGACGCGGGATTCATTCATACGGTATAATGGAATATGTCGGTCACGCACACGCGGAACGCAGCTCATTTTCATCGCGATTTTACGCAAACAATGTTCTGCAATCGAAACACCTGATCCAGAGAATGAGCCGTTGCGGGATTATAGGTGAAAATTTCAACGCATTTAATGGTTACGGAATAATTAGACGATTACACGATACGGGGATGAATTAAACACTTTAATCCTTCCTGCGGATAATCGAGTAACCGTTCAAGCATTTACCACTCGACATTTTTTTACGTACAAAACGTTAATTGGTTAAATGTTTCTTCGCCTTAGTATTTGTTTTAATCCAGCAACGCCGTCGGTGAATTAATTCTTATTTATCGACGATTCCGACGTGCACTGGCCAGCTGCTTTCGTGTAAATAATTTTCAATCTCGCCTCCGGGGGCCCGAGGGACAGGAAAATGCGTATTTAATTTCAGTATCGAAACTGAGATAACTAAGAACGCTCGCGCTCTCCACACCTCGTAACGCTTTCTAGGTATGCGCTTGCGAAATCAGCCGCTGGTCATTATGTCAGTTTCATAATGTGCAATTGCTCGGAGGCGTGTATGTGCTTTTTAATTTCTGTCATATGGATCGTTCCACATTTTTTTTCATCGGTATTAAATTAAAAGCCTACGCAAGCAAAGTCCCGATCGAATTGAAGCACATTTTTCTAAAATTTTTCGAGCCGGTTACAAAGTATGTATAATAAATTTCATGGAAATCGTAAACAACCGCGATAGCCGTGTTATCGTTTGTACACCACGGAGTAACTCGTCTGTTCATGATTCTCTCCCAGTATTATTATCCATTCGTTTCACTTTTCTCTTCTTTCCTTTTCGAATTCGTGTCGGATAAAAATCAGAAGAGTTCTTTACCCCGAACGAACGGACAGCTAAGAAGATTCCCAGCGAGATCTGTCTCAGCTGTCGCATCGACGCTTTTGCTTGTCAGATAAATTATTCCCCGCTAGAAAATCGCGATGTTATCGCGCGGCTAGACGATTTCCATGATGCAATATGAAATATGTATATGCGAGACGTCGACGAAAGAAACTCCGTGCATCGAATTCTTGCGTTGATCATGCTTGACAGATGCACAAAGAAGGGAGCCTCCTTTCTACGTGTTTTCTTTTTCTCTTAACCCGAATTGTTATGAAGATTCGGATTTAAATTCCAGCATGTGATTGATCGGGCGAAGAACGCGTTGTAAGATACTACGAGCTTTCTTCCGTCTCTCATTCATGGTTTTACCATTGTGCACGTTTACGAGGAAGTAAACGCGTAACGATTTCTCAAAAGCCGTTCAATCGATCGGGAAATTACAGCGCGTAAGTCGTAAGCTTCTTTCCACGTCGCCGTGCAATTACTCGTTTCTTATCGCTGATCGATTATGTTCCTCGAAGGAGATGGATGAACACTGATGGAATTGATCTTCATTACTCGTTAATCTTCTGATAATGTCTTCCGTAGATCGGTTGACTTTCTTCTTTGGTGGTTTTGTATCATTTTTCCTCACATTGAAGCACTCGATAATAGTCGGATAAGAATGTTGCCAATTAATCAGGAATTAATTGCTCCATGTGACATTCGAAGATGGAATCAGGACTGACTGAATCTTAAGCCGCTACGTTCCTCGGACGTTAAAAGAGTATATAAATAAACAAATTGAATGATCTCGCGTTAACCGTGTGTATGTTTTGTCTTGTTTGCAGAAGAGAAGAGGCGGTTGAATAGGCGGAGGTAAGAGAGGAAGAAAAACGAACGAAAGATAGGATCGAGCAGATGTCAAAGGGGGAATGATAATCAAGGATACAGGTGTTAGATCGAGTGACTTGACAGACGACGGTGAATCGTTCAGTGTTCTCCAAAGGGCGAGGAAGTATCGACAGATTAATCGTCGCGTTTTACGACAACGGATGTCGGAATGACGCGTCGATCAAACCGCGGCAGGGCAGAGGGCGTAAGGACTTCGTTAAACGGGGAAAAGTGATACACGTCGTGGTTGTGCCGGACAAGGCGGAGAAGAGTTCGATAGATAAGGGAGAAACGAAAGGAAGAAGCGTTCGTGAATTGTTGGATCTTTTACACTTAAGGTAAGTTATTTTATTCGCTATCTTTTCTACGAATCCCAGTTTCGATTTGTATAATTGGAAAAGTTGATAATTGCAAAATTGTTTCGATGCCATAGAAGTGTAATTAATTTCGGTCGAGTTGCAAGCATTTAATACGAACGAATCTAACGGAATTTATCGATTGGTGTACAAAAATGTCCGATATCCGCGTCACGTGTTACCATTCGCTCACAATAAACGCCGCATTGTTTTCAGAAGTAATCGCGGGCTCATTGTCTCAGCATCCTCCAACAGCGACGGATAATTCGCGATGTCGTTACTATGAGATCCATCGTGATAGACTCGAAACTTCCTTATACCTGACAGTTTTTTTCACGAAATCATTCGATCACGTGTTGTTCGTAAAGAAGGCAGAAGCGATTTCGATAAAACGGTGGAAGAACTAGCGAAGAACTTGATTCTGCCAGACAGATCCGCAAGGACGTGCCACGAACGAGGTCAAGGTTAATCGAGCGGAAGAAAGAGAGAGAAGAACGGTGATCGTTTAACCTCGAGAAAAGATCATTCTCGTGTGGTTTGAGAGAAAAAGGGACGGTAGCAGAGGAAGCAGCTGTTCGTCTGTGCGGAAGAACGGCACAGGGTTGATAAGAATAGAGGGGTGCGTGGTGAAACGCGACGAGAGGGTGAAGTGAAGGTGTCCCCGTGGGGTGCCAGAGTGAGCACGATAGCACCTCTGGTACCCTCGGCCGTGGGTCCCGAGGGGACGGACGCCATGGCGGCCTCTTCGTCCTCGTCGAGCGGCGAGCAACAGTACTCACTCAGGTGGAACGATTTCCACTCGAGCATCCTCAGCTCATTTCGTCATCTCAGGGATGAGGAGGATTTCGTGGATGTGACCCTGGCATGCGACAGTAGCAGCTTCACCGCGCACAAGGTCGTCCTCTCTGCGTGCAGCCCTTACTTCCGCAGGCTTCTCAAGGTTAGTGCTTTTTTTCTCCCCCTATCATTTGCCATCGATTTTTCCTTTCTATCGAAAGCATCGGTATCTTCATCGGTGAACGTATCGGAGAAAATGAAATTGCTCTCGCATTGTTCTTGAAGGTGAAATATTTCACCCCATCGGCAATTTCAACGTTCAATTGTTTAATTATCGCGCGAACTGTACGTGTTCCGTGGAAATTTCCAAATTGGCACGAGGTGAAATCGATCGAGCGGCTTTCACGTGAAAAATTCGTTGCCGGTTCACCGTGCACCGGAATCGGCACGAAACGGTCGTTTCGTAATTTGCGCAAATTATATTTTATTATATCTTGTTCTATCTGCGTCATTGTGACATGTGAATTATTCGGAACACCTATTCGGGAATAGGGCTTTTGTGTTTTGAAGTTGACGGATCGTGAAAACGACATTTTCGATCCTTCGCGTGTGGGTGTTTTGACGCAAATTATATCGTGGCTATTAGGAATACACGCTTTTTTTTCTACGTTGAACAAATGACGGTGACAAAGTTACTCGACGCAAGGTTGCGAGGAATCTTCAATTTCGAGAAATACAGATACAATATTTGCGAAGCGCAGTAAGAGGCACGCACGTACAACGTGACTGGTACGAAGTACAAGCATTATTTTCTCAATTACAATGACATAATTGCCATTGTCTTATCGTAATGGCAAAAGAAACGGTGAAAAAAGCAATTGCTCTTTTAGCGGACGTTAACGACTCGAGTACACGTCAATTTGTCGAATTTCCTTCAATTTATCCTCGAAATCTAACAGGGAAAGAGACCAATTTATGCTGTCGATTAGAGTATGAAATTCGGTCGGACATTGTTTGCGGTTGTGCCAAGAACGGAAGAGCCCAATTATGAGTTCGCCGTGGTACGAAGAATCCAGAAAGAACTTCCGGTTTAATTTACATAATAACGTGCCGTCAAAGTCGTTCGACTCAACTCGGATCCTTCTTGCCGAGCAAAGGGACTATCGATCACCTGGTTGCGTCGTCGCGATGTCAACCGTGTCCATCTATCCCGCGTGGAAGCCGTTCCCTCCACTTCTTCTTTGATTGATACTTTCATCGCTGCCTCTCGACGAGGTTTCCTTCTGCCGTGTCAAACGTTTCGTCAAAGATCGTAAAATTCAAATACCGTTTGCTAGTTTTTCAAAAATTTTATTTAAATTCTTTCACGCCTCGAGGCTGGCGTTCAGCGAGGAACCGACATCGAAGAGGCGTTCGACTTTCTAATTGACGCGTACCGCTAATTGATTTTAAGTGTCGAGCGCTGTACTAGCCGATCTAGACTGGCGTTAATAAAATCGGACGGATTTGTTCTCCGTTGCTTGTGCGTCACGACGCCACGAAGACGACCGGCATACGGCTCGTCGCGATGGCGCGTCGTTTAAATATAAGTCACGCGGACGACGTAATAAAAAGCACGAGTTGCGCGGTCACGAAGGTGGGGCCTTTTCTGCTCGTTAATATATCACCATTATACTTTCACCGGCGTCCTAGAAGCGTTGGAACGTTTATTTAATGATCGCGGTCGCCTTGCTGATTATCATCATAGTATTCCGTCTCAAAGCGTCGCGAACTTTATAACATACGGGAGAGACGCGTACCAGTAATTAACGCTCCATTTACTTGCATTCGAGGTTGATTGTTCGTTTAACTTAAAATTATTCAAATCTCCAATTTGCAAGTAAACGTTGAGCGCTGCAATTAACGAGGATTAATAGCGTTCGCGTTGCCACTTTTTTCCTTCGCGGAAATATTTCGCTTCGATATCAATCCGCGTGGATACAGCGATAACGAAGCTGACCGGAACACCTGACAACCGTGTGCACCCATTTTGATTTATGCGTTAGCGCAGAGCCGTGCTACGATTTACGATAGAGACCATTCGTTTGATTATCGGCCGGCAGTCGATGACGAATCACTGAGCTATCGACTGCGTCCGCAATGATATTTGCCAAAACAGGATCGGCTGCTGTGCGCGTCTACTATTGATCATAAATTTCGACCTGTTTTGAAACAGATAATAAATTGCTGGACTATCGCAGTTACAAGTATTCGTTTAAAAAAAAAAAAAAGAATCCACGAATAGAGATCGGTTTTTCTGTTTTGGAAAATTCTGTTCATTCGAACGATCGATAGAGTAATTCATTTTCCTTTCGCGATCATTTGTAACGATAAATCAATTGTCAGCGTACGATTATTTACGAAACGGTGATACCGAGTTTCGTTTAACTTCGGAAAGGTAGACACTCCGATCGGCGAGGTGTAATTGCAAGGTAAAAGCGCGCGTCGACCGAGAGGATTGGATTAAACCGTGCGTGTAATCGCGTGTCGCTCAGAGCTCCGCGAAATAAGTACAAGGCAATAATAGCGAGTCAGAGTTACGGTAATTTCGAACGTAACCGTCGAGAGTAGATTAATTCCTCTGAAATGGTCATCACGGCTGCTGACCCATTAATGCAGTTATCTCGAATCGTGACAGCGTCTGAAAGGCGTGTCTCTAGTGGATCAGCCGGCTTTCTGATATCCCCAGCTGCCGGTTATGTTATAGAAAAACAGGCTGAACGAGTTCTACGTAGTTTATCGGTGAGTTCTCGGCTTCGATCTACCGTGTAAAATTCATTGATACGAGAAAGAGAACGGGGTAATAGAAGCGGTGATTATCGTCGATATAAATTACACAGGGGTCCCTTTAAAAATGGCTCTTGATTAAAAATCTGGAGATTAGTTCCAGCCGCTAGTGATTTATAAATAGCCTTGATATTGCATAATATCTTTCGTGTCTGACGTCTACGGTGAACTTATAAAATGCAGCAGAGTGCTGTCCAGCGTGGTTTAATAATATTATTTTGATTTTATTCGCTCGAGAAATACTCTCGGGTCTCCGATGAACATATTAAAGACGTCTGATGTGGGGGGGCTGCTGGTAATGTTGGTTAGAATTAAAGGAAGTCTGTGGCTCGTTATCGTTTTCACGGAATCGTACGCTACACGCGTCCCGGCTATATTAATCGCGAGGGATCGCTCGTGTACACGCATGGTGCGCGCGAACGACCCACGCGTCGCGTGAAAATAATAATGTGAAGGAACGGAGGGACAGAGCCTCGAAAGTGGAGCGACGACAGCGTTATTTCTACGTCGGTCCGAGGAATATCGTCTGAACATAAATTACAAGCAGAGAAGACGCGTTGAAAGTGAATGAATAATCGATGCGATCGATTCGAAAAGCTTGTCTCCTTGAAATTGCAGGGGATGGAACGGACCAATTATAGAAGTACAGCGGGAAAACAGCAGCTTGAAAATTTCATTCGAAACGCGTTCGAGGTCGAGAGGTTCGATCTGTTTGCTGAGGAAACATCATGGAACTATGGAAAATATATCTATATATATTAAAAAGAGGGAAAACAACGTAGACGCCTGACACGTGGTGGCGAGTGCAGGGAACAGAAATCATGCTTGCACAATCCATCCCATCGCATCGTGGTGGCGGGCAAAAGGTGCTCCATATTCTATATTTAAAAGGCGCGCACGCGGGCCAACCGAGATTACCACGTGCGTGTGCGTGAGTTACGCACGCGCGCCTCTTACCATCTCGTACTCGCTCGGTACTTGCGCTTCGCGTCTCGTGACCGGTCGTATTTAAATTTACCAACGAAACGCGCGGGCTTTTTGCTCGTGTCGTATCGAAGAAACGAGGAGGAGAGATGAAGACGCTGGAAATATACGAGACCGAGGCTCTCGATCCCGTTTGTTTCCGGCCGTGTGATCCGAAACGTGGCTGTAACGAGAACCTTAACGCCGAAGAGGGCCACAAGCAGCCCGAGGAGAAGGGCGAGAGGACGAGCTAAGAGATCGTGGCTTCTATTTTCTACTCGAACAGCCTCGACGCCTTCGAATCGACGATAATTCCCGGGAAATGCGGATCGCTTCGAAATCCTACAGATAATTTACGAACCGGTAATGCAGACGAAGAGATTCGTTTTGGGTTAGTCACCATGAAGATTTCACTGTTGTCGAGATCGAGGAGCGATTTGAAGAGAGATCCTTCTGAATTTTACAAATTTTATTCTAAAATAGTAGTAGTTAACGACTACTCCGAATAGTTGGGTAATTTTAGTGTAATAGTCAAAGTATAGGTAAAGATTCCACGTGAGATTACCGTTAATTAATAGTCAACGATATCTCGAAGGAGCTCGATCACGAATCATTGCATGTTCAAGTTGCTTAGAAAAAGAATCATTCGATGTTTCCAATCCCCCATTGAACGGAGACCTTTCGAAAGTCTTTCAGATCGTAGATTAGGATCGTCGAGGATCCTGAATCAAACTGATCGATCGCAATCTCCAGTGGAACGATCGCTTTTGGAGACGCTCTAATCGCAATACCGAATGTTTTCCTTCGATCCGCATTATTCTTGGAAATCGCGTGATGATAAGCGAGCAACAACAGTATCCAATCAAAGACTTGTTCGCTTCTTCCGCTTTGTGTAACGTCACGGCTGTTTACGATTACATACGTCATGCTTAGCACACCCACGTACGATGGGGCAAAAAGCAAGTCGCATAATGGCAGAGGCGAGTAATGATTCTCACCAGCCAGTGAGTAACGATCCGATGGAAACTTACGACCACACGATCCCCACCTAACATGCTCGAACGTAACCGCATAATTGCACGGTTCAACGTTTCTTCACGAATGCCATCTGTTGTTGAATAGAAAATCCTCTCGTTACTTATTGCAATCGTTTTCGAAGTAAACCCTTCACGGGTCAATTGGAAAATCACGCTTCTTGCAACATAGCTGTATACAAACGAAGAATTTCTAATTCTCTTCGATTTTAGAATGGTATCGAGAGCCACTGGCGTGGCTACGCAAGGATTAGGGACCTGGCCACCCCCCAAATATGTGGACCCTTCATTATTCCAAGTTCCTAAGGTTCTAAAATGCTAAAATTTTCTAATTCTAAGA